TCTTTCTGTTCGAACCACACTTGAGAATACAATTGAATGACAAGGACAAAAAAGACAAAATGTCTACATCTTAATTTTTTGGTTGCAAAGCAATGTACAACAACATCTGTAGTTAAAAAGGCCAGAGAAAATAGAAACTAAGAAAAAAAATAAAAATAAAAAACGTTGGTTGTTCTTAGTATTCTTATCATATTGTTTTAGTTGAAAGTAAAACAACAGACAATAACCATGAGTATGGAAGCACAATTCTACGAAGCTCGACGTCGTCAAAATTACATTGAGCGGCGTCAATCGCTTCAAAATCTAAACGAAATAACTAAACCGTCTCAACAACATGAATATGCAACTTTACATATCCCTGTTCGTTTATCACATCAATATGATAAACATGAACGATGTACATGTATTCCTATGCGTCGTAATAAATTTTCTGATAGTGATCAATCTTTATATAAACGAAATCGAGATATTTATCCGTAAGTATTTTATAAATAATGAAGTTTTTGTATTCTTTCTTCTAAACCAATAATATTAGTCGACCACCACCTTTAACAACAAGAATAAAACGATCTTTTCAACATGCTAAACTTCATCGTCGATTTTCTGTATGCTATTTGAAAAAATAAATAACATAAGTAATGTATTTTTTTTTTTTTTTAGTCAATTGAATACCTTCAACAATGGTAAACAGACAAAATTATTATGAAATAGACAAAAAAAAAAAAAAATTTTTTATATATTATTTTAAATTTTAAATAAATAAATAAATAATAAAGGAATTAGAAGATTTATATTTTAGTTTCAATCAAAATAGAAGATATTGTTTTGTTAGATGAATAAATGTTTGAAAAGGTCAATATTCAAACCCTCGATAGAATTTTCTCCTATCTATATTTTTCCCGACTATTCATTCAGTCTAGAAAAATGATTTACACGTGGACAACATATATCTTTTGTTAACTGTCTTCATGTATACTATGGGAGAGAGTGATAGTGAATCTCCTTTTTTTTTTTTTTTTTGTTTTTCTTCTTCTTCTCTCGTGTTCGATGATTTTCTTTCGAGAATAATTTAATTCAGTTCGTTGTTTTTTTTATATCCATCGAGCACATACCAATATCTAGCAGCACAAAATCGTTTTCAATATGTCAATTAGTAAGTGCAAAACTAAGAAAAAAAATAAAAGATAGTAATAAATACTATTTATTTTTATTCAAGGTTCTTATCAATCAATGATTAATAATAATCTAACTAATCTATCAACAACTTCAACTGGTTCATCAGTATCAAATTCTTCATCAGGTTCAACAGGTGGTAGTAATGCACCAATGTCATTAGCTGCTGCTAATGTTGTACGTGGTATAATGGAAAAAGTTTTAGCAACACCACCCATGGGTTCTAGTATAAGTGGAGGAATATCATCATCATCATCATCTAATGCTGCTGCTGCTGCTGCTGCTCGATTATTTAATGAACTTGATTATTTATCATCACCAGGACTTGATTCAGATTTTGGTGATACATCACCATTACTTTGCACGGCTCCATCAAATTTAAATAATCAATATCTTCGTTTAGCTATTAATAGTAATAATAACAATAATAATAAAGAACAACAACATTGTCATCATGGAAATTTTCTTACACGGTAAGAATTTGATTTTAAGATCTACATCCGCTCTCGAAAGTCAATAGATGATTTTTCAGTTAACTATACAAAAGCATGTCACTTGAGATATATTATTCAATGCCAAAAACTTGAAGGAATTTTAAAAATAAATTCTGACGCTGATTAAAACAATCATTAGAATATAGATATGATGACGTCTGACAGCATCTATTATCAGTTATCTCGCGACAGACATAGTTCGATTTAAAATGATACAAAAGAATTTCGAAAGTTTCAATATTCCCTAGAAAATTAAAGATAACAATGATTAAACAAATCTCCAGTTCTACATCTTGATGTATAGTGAAAAAAATATTTTCATGGATTGTAAATTTCAGAGAAAATTAATTTTTTGTTTTGTTTTTGTTTTAGACATTGTTTATCTCAAAATAATCGAACAATAAATAGTCCATTTTCACATCAACAATTTACAGATTTAACAAATTTAATTGATTATTCACCACCATCAAATTCTATGACAAATATTTTTTCTGAATCAGATGATTCAAATGATTTAAATGGAAATAAAAAATTTATTGCTAAACGAGCACAAATTGGTAAATATATAAAAAAAAAAACAATTTTGTTTTCAAAAAATCAAAATTTCTTTTTTTTTGTTTTTCTTAGATATGACTAAACAAGTAACAGATGCTCGTGCTTTATATTTTATGTTAGGTATTAAAATGAAATGTAAATTTTGTTTTGAAAATGGTGAATCATTTGAAGTTTATCGTTCTCATATGTTACGTAATGGTGCTGGTACAATACTTTGTCCAATACTACGTGCTTATATATGTCCTAAATGTGGTGCTACTGGTGATTTAGCACATACATTACGTTATTGTCCACTACATCAATCACCGGGTAATACTCAATTACTTGGTAGTGCATTTGATTAAATTCTAATGTGTATGAATGATTCTATAGGAACTCTTTAGTGTGTGTGCCATTCAAATATTTTCTTCGACTCTATACTTTAATTTAGGTCTGATATATTAGTTTTGTCATTATTAAAGTGTTATTTTCTTTTCCGCATATCTCATGTATAAATAATAATTTTCTTCTATAAAAAATAATTCTTTCTCTTGGTTGATTGATATAAAGTCCACTGAAATTTTCGTAGTGGCAAGTGTTGTTAGTTTTCTTTTTTTGTTCCGTTGTACATGTGTATGTTTTATGTGTGAGAGAGAGAGAGTTAGTCGTCTATGTGTAAGTCTATAAGTGTGTGGTTTCTTTTTTTTTTGTTTGTTCTTGTGTTATTGTCTCGATTTGAGACAAAAATTGTTGCAGTACGTTTTTTGTTTTATTTCATGAAAAGAGTCAGATGAAAAAGAAAAAAGAACATGATTGATAATAAATTAAATGAAGAATGCTTATTATATTACTATTTCAATTGTTCACAACTTGTCTCATAAGGGAATTATTGGAAGTAGTTTTAAACTATTTGATTCTATGTAAAAACTAACGAGTTCTGTCTATTATAACAAGAGATAGACTAGAGTCGACGGTAGTTTTGCAGTAAACATACACTTTTGATGCAAAAATTTCAACGTTCGTTCACGATTAGCCGAAAAAATCTCGAAAAAAATAAGTGTTTTAGCTCTGTAGGACTTGTACGTTCTCTCTTCTTTCTTTCATTATGCCAATGTTATTGTATGGCGCTATTACACCCTTACGATTAGTGATCCGAAGCAAGAAAATGCAATATTGGCTTATGCATGGCTTCAGTCTGATGCTAATATCGATTTATTAAGAGGGATCGACATTTTGCGACCATATTATCTATTTGCATTTTGATATCCTACAAAATACTATTAAAAAAAAAAACAGTTTCTCTTCAACACTCAAAGTGGTTTACATTGACAGTAGCCAGTCTCGAGAAAAATAACCTTGAATACTTTTTATGAGTCTTCATTCATAAAAGCTTTCATCTCTGAGAAATTAGAACTTCATCTGGGATAGATTAGCAAAGACAGCTGTCTCAAAAGACAAAAAGCATTTTCATTTCGTATTGCTCTGAAGGAGAGTAAGAAAATTTTGAAAAAACATTTTTTTTCATGAAATCAAATAATGATCATCCAAATAGATACAACTTGGGATACTGATCACAGGCATATGTTAGAAGGTTATTATTAATGGTAATTTAGTAGTATATGGGTAACTCCTCGAGGCCATATACTTGTCACAGATTCTCGAATGCTCCATCAGAAAAATGTTCTATATAGCGCTAAGTCATAACTAATAATGAACTTTTATCATATGTCTGTAATCAGCGCCTCAAGCTCTATCTATCTGTATGATCATTATTTGTTTTTTTTTTGTTCTTTGAAACAACTGTCTTTGCTGAATCATTCTGAATCGAGTTATAATTTCTCAAAGATAAAAAACTATTGGAAATAATTTTCCTCAAGACTGATTTCTGTCAGTGAAACCTACTTTTCGCATTGACGATAAATCTTTTTTTTTTTAAAATCATGTTGTAGATAATCAAAATTTACATAACATATAAATAACTCAGCATGATATCTTTTGATTTTAAAAATTCGTAGCAGATACACTGTCAAAAGATCGGACTTTATACAATGTTTTAAATAACTGATTGCTTTCAGTATTTTAGCAGTAGGTTCTTAGTGCTAATAAGTTCATACAGGTTAACTTTTCGATAAAACATTCAAAACAACATAAAAAATCAAATTTTGACAAAATGTCTCGATTTCTTCATGGCCGTTCTCTGTTACATAAGCAACAAAAACATTCTTAATATCTTTCACACGTATTAATTACTATATTTAAAGAATCTCATTCGTTTCTAAATTGTATCTAAAGTCATCTAGTTCTTTTTTTTTATATCTATTTACATAATTCTTGTCGTATTAACAATTCTTTTCATTCCTGTTAACATATTTCCAATTGAATTGTTATCATGTCAAATACAAATTTGATTGTCACATCATCAAAAAACGACATACATCATTCTATCAAGTCAATTGCCATCCATGAAATTGTGTCATACACAACATATATCTCTAGTCTTAATTGGCTACCACTGTTCAACATAAAAATGTCTATAACATAAACCAATCATACTGTCAATCAACAACAAAACGTTTTTCATCTTTTTTTTGTTAACAAAATGACATCAATCTTTTTCTTTTCTATTACAAAAATAAAAAAAACACACACGCACACACAAATATGATTAAGCTAGGATTGTCAATACGAATATAATAAATGCACAACAGCAACAGCAACAACAACAGAAAAAAAAAACAAACACATTGCAAATACAATGGAATGAGGAACAAAAAACAAGAAATTTTTTTTTTTTACAAATTATACATGTACTAAAGGTAATTGTTTAGATGATGGAAGTGAATATTTACTTCCATTAATTTTCGTATGTTTATATGAATAATTTATGCCATAAGCATCTCGTCCATGACAATTACCATAATGATATGAATGATTTTCATCTATAGTCTTACAACATAAACAACGACAAAAGAAATTTTTCCATGTTAATAATGTTTTACTATTTAAAGTAATCCAAAAACCTGTCGTTATACCAACAATTAATAAGAAAAAATATTTTGCGATATATATTGTAAAATTTGGTTGCATAATCCATGATGAATAAGATTGATTAGGACAATTATGACAATGAAGATTTTCTTCCCATATTCTACGATAACGAAGTTCATAAAAATAAATACCAATAACCTAAAAATAAATAAAAAATAATAATAAAACCTATTTCTAATATTTTAGTTTTTTTTTAATACTTACAAATGTTGCTGGTACAGTATACAGAATTGAATAAAGTCCAATACGAACCATTAATTTTTCTAATTTACCTGTTTTTGTTCGATCTTGTATTTTCATAACATTTCTTATACGCATTAAACTTATTAAACCACATAATAAAAATATTGTTCCAATTGTTAAAAATGTTATTAATGGTATTATAACAAAACGACGTAACATTGTTGAATCTGTATGTCCAACATAACATATGCCACTTATTGGATCACCATCGATACCATTTAATATTAGAATAGTTATTGTTTGAAAACATGGTAAAAGCCATGCAATAAGATGATAATAAAGTGAATAATGTGCTATAGCTTCAGATGACCATTTAAAGCCGGCAGCAAGAAACCATGCTAATGTTAATATAACCCACCAAATTGATGAAGCCATACCAAAAAAATATATTAAAACAAAAACAAATGCACAATTTGAAGGACCAGACACACGAACAAGTTGAACATAAGATGGTGGATGAAGCTAAAAGAAAAAACAAAAAAAATACATTTGATTTATTAATCAACAATTAGCATTTTCTTGGGTCATTTCTTTTGAGTTATGTTCTGATTCATATGGTATATAAGATAGTTTGCTTAAAACCATAGAATATTTCACTATAAACTTGAGAGTACGGGTTCAAGTCCTGGATATTTTCAGTCAAAACTACCTGCATTATGTAGGCCAAGATGAACTATGAATACCCTGAAAGAAGTTCGTGCCCTTTAGTTGAAACCTTGCAAACAGACAAGTCTTAACGAGAATAGTTTTTGAGAATGTTTCAGGTTCACTTATATTACTTACTTCATTATCTAATCGACATGCCACATTTTCATGTCCTAATCCTAAACGTAGCAAATAACCACATGAAATAAAAAAATAACATAAAGCCAAAAATATAATTGGCCTTTGTGGATATTTAAATCTTGTTATATCAATAAAAAATGTTAATAAAACAAATGCACATGATACTGTACATAATAAACTTAAGAATATTAACCATTTATTTATTATTGATTTTGATTGTTCATCAGAAAAATATGGTGAATAACATGGTGGAATACATTTTCCTTTTGATTCAGTACGATAACCTAATGATGTATTACATTGACAACATGATGTTTGAGATGTTGAACGAGGTTTCGATAGAGGTTTTGATGAAGCTTCATTTTTTTTTGGATCCATACAAATAGGATTTTCATTAATTGATGGATATTGTTCACATTTTAATGCATCAGGCCATAGAAAACCATATTGTATATAATATGATTCACATGGTGTACGAACACGTTCACAAACCTAATAAATATTAAATTATAGAGAAAAAAAAATGAAACTCTAAAGAAATTAATTTTTTCTTTTACTTCACGACATGGTAATATTGTTTCTGAATAATTTGGTAAACATAATGGCATATAAATTGAACAAAGTAAAAAACGAAGTTCAGATGAACATCCAACAGCAAATAAAGCTGTAAATTGATTGATCTAAATTAACAATGTATTTTGTTAGATCACAAAGATGAATTCGTTTATTTGACACGTTCAGTCATTTCGCGCTCATTCATTAAACCTTATGAACTAATATTTGAACTAGTTCTTTACGGAGGAAGCCTTTCAACAAATTGATAGAACAACTCATTTTTTTCTTCTTCTTTTTATTGACACAATCATTTGCTGTAGTCTAATGATATCATAATATACATTTGTTTATTTGTCAGATCATTTATAAGGTCAGACAAATGTCAAACGACGACTTTGCCGCTAGGGTACACTAGAATAACAAATATTCATATATGTTTTACACCTATTCTATAAGAGATCGATTAGCACATTGTAGGAGGGCAAATGTAAAACATTCTTATCTGTCTAGATGACATGAATAATTATTATCGATACATATATATAATAATATATTTCAACCTTGATATTAAATCAAAATTATAATATTATAAAAAAACTGACGAAAAACATTTAGCTATTGAAAGAAAAAGATTTTTTAGTGTTGTTTTTTTTTTTTCTTACCACGAGTGCAACATCTTTTTGATCTTGATGATTAAATTTATTAGGTAGATATGTTTCATTATATCCAATATTTTTACATTCATAATATGTTATTGTTTGACATTGTTGTTGTTGACTTTTTATTGAAATAATTTTTAGCATTAAAAGTAGAAGAAGAAATAGTTGTTCGATTTTTTTATGCATGTTATTCTTGTATATTGAATGTGCGAATGTATGTATTGATATATATAAATGCGAAGGTGAACAACAGAGAGAAAACAAGAGAAAATAATGATCTAGAAGAGTAGAAAAAAAAAAGAAAAAAAAAAATTTCGCCTTTCTGCAACAGCTGGATAAATGAACTGTCACTATGTTCAATTTGACACAGCGGAAAAGAAATGAACATGTCACCAATTAGATTACGAGATACCTTAGACATGCTAAAATTATAGAAAAATGAACATGGGAATGGAAAAATACATTCTTGATATATACGAAAATTCTTTTTTTTTTTTCCTTTTTCTACAAGAATGTTTGACTATATATTTCAATCCTACGTAAATAGAAAATAAAAATTTGAATGTATTCGATTTTATTTTACATACTTGAAACAAGGTCATTCTTCAGCTTCCTGTTATATGTTTATATGCACATAGATAGAAATTTTTCTTCACCATCATCTATTTTACTTACATATACTTGAATAATTATCTGCTTCTCATCGTGTTAAGATCAATAAAGGCGATAGATCCACATGCATGAACGCATACATCTTCTACTAAAATGGCATCTTCCCAATAATAAACGAGCAAAAAAAAAAAAAAAAAGGAATAGAACGAGAACATCAGAAAAAAGAAAAAAGTACTATCAACAAATAATAATAAGAACAGAAATAACTCCTTGGGGGATTAATAATGTGACAAGGATATTCACTCTAGTTTCCAATAAAGTCTAAAACTATTCTCGATGAATTCAGCATATGAAGACTAATTAGACACTCAGTTGGTGTCTGTCTGACATATTATTCTTTTGTTGTTCTTAAACAAAATGTTCAAATAAACAAAGAATCTCAACATGTTGCATGATAAAAAAAACGGAACATAACTGATTCGAACTTACTAGTCAGGTTTAGATATTTATCTGTTGAAGACAACAGTAACCAACTGAGAGCAAAAGAAAGATCGAAGTTATATAATCATAAAAAGAGAAGCGTGGTGATGACGTGCGTATACACTTCTTATATAGAGAGAGATGAGAGGAGGTCAGAAGACGCTCGATCGTACAAAAAAAAAAAGAAAGAAAATGAGCAGTAACATTCACGCACGCGCGAAACCCGTGAGAGTACAAACGCAATCACAAATAATAAAAAAGAAGAAGAAGAAGAAGAGAAAATTGATTTCTTTTAAAAGTTGAACTATACACAAAAAGAAAAGTAATTAGAAGAGCTATTCACTCATGTCTGAAATCAAATCTTAGCTGTAATGATGTGAAAACATTATATTCATATTGTCCTTTAAAAGTCAATGAATATTATATTCTCGATTAATATATAACATTCGTTATATTTTTATGTCAAGAACTATCTCGCACTATTCAATTTATTGTAGTTTAACCCATTCAACGAAGTAAATGTGTAAATGACATATAAAAATATATGTTCGAACCTAACATTACATTATCGATCTATCTATCTATATGTATTATATTCATGGTTGTTTGTTTTTTTGGTTGATGACCATATTTTTTTTTTCCTGTGTATCTATCTGACAAATTTCATCGACATAAATTGAACTCATCATTTACTAGAGTAACTAGGCGTGAAGAAGGACAAAAATGAGCTTGATAACAATCAAGTGTTTCTTACTTTTAATATAACCTGTAGATTGTCGTTTAATAGATGAAAGGAGTGCAAACGAGAGAAAAAGAATGAATAGATGATCTTTATATTCGATGTTCGATTAAGACAAGACCGACAGTTCGATGAAGTATATCAAAAAAAGAAAAACAACTGAGGTGACGATTAGAATGATTGAAAAAAAAAAGAAAAGAACGACCTAGACGTAGGAGAGAGAGAGAATAAACGATGGTGATGATGGCTAGACTCTGAAGTAGTGTTGAGTAAGAGAATAGAATAGTGTTGACGGTGCCCACTCAAATGACCCCGAGAGCTACTCATCCTAATGGACGACCACCTACTATTCATCAATACATACGTCTAGTGTTTCCTGTTCTTTCGTGCAGCACGAGTGTCAGTCTATTTAATATTTAGAGAGTGAAAGAAAATCTCGCATGTTCTGTCTTTCACCTGTATGTATAAACTAACTAAGAGAAAATGAAAGAAACGAATGAGAAGAGAGGATTATAGAATAGATTGAAGTGATCTAACTCGTTTCTTTTTTTTTTTTTGTTGCGTGTTAATCTTAAGGGAATGACTTACATTGTTTGTAAAGAATAAGATAGTATAATAATGAATGCTGTCATAAAGTTAGTTCTTTTTTTCATTTGACAGGTAACAATGAACGAAAAAGAAGAACTCATCTAATCCTTAAATACTTGAACAATCTCTCTCATATTGTATATAACAATGATGACAACTTATGTAGCTAAAAATGAAAATGAGAAGAGTCACTTAATTTTCAAGTGAAAGAATTAGATTTCACACATAATCAACATTCTACTTGATAATTATTCTTCAGCTTAACTAAATCCGAAATCAAGAAAAGAATCAATCAATATATATCAAAGGCAATCTATAGTAAATGAATTTCTCTAACGACTATTTCTTTTTTTCTTTTCTTTTCATAATCAGTAAATCTCAATTAGTTAGTCCTAGAATCGAACATCAGTATGATAATATCTTCATACAACAGCTGGGCTTTTTTCTCTATCGTGTAATTTTTATTATATATATTTTATCGCTATGTTTTACTATTACTAACAAGGACATTATTAATCATATCGCTATACGATTGGTGGCAATAGATCACTATCAATGATTTCTGTTGGTACTGTAAAAGTACAGAAAAAAAAATACATGAAAGGCATAAGCCATTGTCCATTTTCGATAATGCTATTGGCAATAAAGACACGTCTCTACTACGTAGTAGATTTTTTTTAATAATGTCGATAGATGCATTAAACGCCTTGCAGGCATATCACTTTAAATAAACGTCGAATTTCCTGTATGAATACATTATATGATTTTGACGGACGAGATGACTCGTTCTTATACATTATTATTCGCTCTTGCATAACCATTGAAATCTATTAGACACAATTAAAAAGCAGAATTATTTAAGTTGCTTACAATATTGATTATTATCTTTGGATATTGAAATAATTCCTCGTTTTTGTTTTCTTGTAGACGAAAGAAAAAAAAGTACTTCTATGAATTGTATTATGCATAGAAAAAAAAAGAAGAAGAAAATAATCGATGTCGTTGAAGTGATGGATTAGGCTTTTTTTATCATGTGTAAAGTATTGACGTAAGAGATTTTTATCTAAGAAGGATAATGAAATAAGAGAATTTATCATAATTATTGAAATTTTCAAGTAAAACCAAATAAAATTATTAAATATAATAATTCATAAAAAATCTATTTATTCAAAAGTTTCGTTTTTTTTTTTTTTTTGTGTGTTTTAAATTCAGACGATAGAAAGAAACCATTTGATTGATTGGATCCATAAACAAAGAATAACAAAAAATAATGTTGACACCTACTAGATTATACAAAATAGTATAATTATGTTTATTAATATATAAAATCAGACCGTTGATATTTAACTCAATGAACATTCGTTATTTTCATTCATCATAAAAGCTTATAATGTCTATTGACCATATCTTAATAATATATCAAACGATTTTTCAAAAACAAAAAGAAAACGAAACATATTCTTTCAAATTTATCTCTATATTCATCAATATGAACTTCAAGATGAACCATAAGATATGTTTATTTAACAAAAAAGACAACGTGTAGATATAGTTTTTAACATTTCATCTATCAATTTATGTCATCCATATCTGATGATGATTCAACGACAGTTATATCAACATTATGATCATCATATCGAGACGATATATTACTTCGACTACTTGTCGATCGACTTGTTGCTTTCATTGGTTTTAATGAACGTTGAAAATCATCAAGCTTATCGAGAAGACCAGGATTACGACGGCAAAGAAGACGTACATCATCTACATTAATTGTCATTCGTTTACCATGTCTAAATAAAATGGAAATTTTAAATTGGAAAAAGAAGAAGAAGCCATTTTACTTTGAAAATGCATCAAGATCTTGACAAAATGTTTCGATTTGTTGAAATGTGACATCACCAATAGCAGCTACGACTTGTTTGTCTACAGTAACATTTGATTGTGTTTGTAATTGTTCACAAATTTTACCACATGCTGCATGAAGTGCTGCTTTTAATCTCTAAAGAAAAATAAAGTAAAATATTACGTTTCTATATTTTTGGTGTCGAAATAATAAAATTGAATACTAAAAACTCTTTATCAAATAATCCATTTTAAAATAAAAATGTCGTTTGTCAAAGAAGGATAATAATATAGTATTTTACAACAAGGGTTCGTACCCTATGCTCTGACGAGAGAGCTTGTTAGAGTGATCCTAGACTTGAATTCATTCGAATCCGAAACTTTTGGATTCGATGGCCCCTCAATCTGACCGACAAAAAAGTTTCTAACATTGCCACTAGTCTATCGTGTAGAAATTCTACACGTATCTTATTATTTCTGAATTCTATTCTAGTTGAAAAATTCTAAAAGTGATAAATAGAACAATATATGTTCATGTTAGAGATGTGTACAGTACTTGTGCACATTTCTATCATAATTTGTGTGAGTTTTTTCTACCTAAATTTTCCAAGAGTGCAAAATGTTTTAGACTTATACAAACTTGACAGAAAATGTTTGTAGTGAATGCAGATAAATCAAAATTTATTCGTTATGATCCATAGAATTCATTAATTTAGCTTTTTTCTTCTCGAAAATTTACCATGTATTGACAAGACATGTGAAAATGTGTTAAATGATTTCATATTCAACTTAGCATAGATCTACCATATCTTTCATATTCTTCTCTTATTAAACAAAGAAAATTTTTATGAAATTCCAAACGCACCAAGACAGGATCTTGTAAGAGTCGTTCATCATCTAAATCAGCCATAATCTAAAAACGTTATACATTTCATAAACTTACCTATAGACAATTCGAGAAAAAACAAAACAAATCAGAATATAATCATTTTCATTTTATCTCTCTGTCTGTCCGGGTTTTAGTTTTTTATAAATAATAATAGAATAAAGAATCGTTGAACAAAACCAACAACATCAGACAACAACAAAAAAAACAAAACAAAACAAATGACTCAATAAACAGGCTTTCAACGATAAGAATTATATAATAAAAGTGACGTATAATCGGACAAAAAACTGTATACACTTTTAAAAAGCTCATAGGAAACCGCACGTATTATCAATGGATTTTTAAAAAAAAACCATACGTTCGGAAATGACAAGAGAGATAAAAGATATAAAATATATACACATAGTGAAAATAAGAGATAAATTTTATAATGTTTTCTTATTTTTTATTTTTATATTGGTACTTTATCAATATCATCTCGTTGTTCTGGTCGATTATTAACCATAAAACCGAGTTGTTTAGCATCAACTTTTTGACCTTTCATTTTTTTTGCTTTTTTCTTTTGTCCATTACTTGATGCTAATTGAAAACCTTCATCACCACCACTACCACTATTATCATTAGAAGATGTTGGTGCCATAACTAATTCATTTAAACGTTCATTATCCAAATCAGGCTAAATTTGAAAGAAAAAAAAAAAAGATTTTTAATAATTATTAAAAATATTCATCAACCTCAGCATTAGCTAATTGATTTCGTTTTAAAAGAAAATCATTGGCAAATTCTTTAGCTTTACTAACTGTTCCTATATATGGTTGTACATATTCAACAATTTCACCAGCATTATCAATATCTTTTAATAATTGAACAAGTGTTGGTACTTGAATAATGAAAAAAAGTATTTTAGAGAAAAAAAGAATGTCTTGTTTTATCTACCATCAACATCTTTTAAACCATCTTTGAATTGAGTTTGAGTCCATTTCGATAGAACATCTTGGGTACGTGCCGTGTGAAATACAGATTTTGCTTCATGCTCATTTTTGTTTGTTTCATCATTAGTTAGATTTATTTTTCCAGATGTTGGAGTTGTTGTTGTTGTTGATGATGACGATGATGATGTGGGTTTTAATTCTGTCCATGGGGTGCTATATATTTAATTTAAACAAAAAATTATATCAAATTCATATATGAGGGGTAATGCATAAATAACGAAGAAATAAGTAATGAACACTGTTTTGAACTGGTACTATTGAATTCAATAAAGAAATACACTGCTGACTGAAGTTCTCACAATGAGTTCTATAGATTGAGAAGAGCAGGAAAATGATCGATAAACTGCTTTTTAAACTTTAATGATGCCAATTTGTAGAGCTTGGTGAGTCATTAGCTGATATAATAGTTATTCGGGCTAATGGGGTTTTTAAGGGTAAATAAAAATTTTTGTGTAAGGTATGTAGATTGACGAGATTGAAGCAAGCACCTACCCCCACTGCCACATGCCTCACATTCAGACACACACGTCCACAACCATACACCCGCACCCACACTCATATCAACCGATCCCACACCCACACCCACTAAAGCAACATCCACACCCTCACACCCACTTCTGCACCATTAGCCCAAACGATTATTATATCAGTCAATAACTCAACAACATCTACAAATTAGCATTACTAAAATTTCAAAAGCTACTTATGAATCCTTTGCTGTTCCTCGTAAAAAGGAAACGAGATCACAATCCGGCTAACCTATCATTATGTAAAATATCCACAACTTTTCTTGAACTCTCAGATGAAATTTATAGTCTAAATAGCTGCGTTAGGGAACTACATATTGATAGATTCATCGAGTCATAACCTTCTTCTTTTCTTGAGTTTTAAGCTTCGTTGCAAGAAGGATTGCTATTGATCACGACTTCTCTTCAACTTTAGCGAACGAAGCCGAACTTGTCTCACTGATCTATAATTCTAAAGTTAAATATATGGCAAAAAATTTAGGGCTTCCACTTATCATCAACTATTGTCAAAAGTTCTAATGACGAACTTCAGGTAACCCAAAAATTTCACATGCCTAGTCCTTATATACTTAGAATAAATCGCTGTTTTCTGCTTGTCTGTAAGCAAAAAAAGAATGTAGAGTTTATAATTATAAATATGCAAAAGAAAACCGTTGAAAATCTTACCAAAAATAGATCATTATTATATTTAGTAAAGTACTAAATTACTGAAAGCAATATGTTAATCAATCTTTATTTGAAATAGTATGAATAAAATTCTTGATACAACTCTAATTCAAACGATTCTAAGAGTTTCATCAACTCTTTGAATATTTTATTTACATAAATTAATCACGATAGAGTTTATTATATATTCAATATCTTGTGTATTGAATTATGTCATGATATTGAAATGAAAAAAAAAAACATATCAACAACATCTGTTGCATTCATAAATTTGATATTCTACAGAATAGTTGATACATACGATGGTTTATTGGTATTTGTTGTTATAGGTTTATTTGATGATGATGAATTTTGATTAGCCCATAAGAATGCTGATGATGATTGTTGAGATGGAATGGAGTGTTGAACATTACCAGTCCATACAGGTGTCGATGTTGATGAATGACCAGATGTTATATGAGGTGATTGTTGTTGTTGTATTGCTTCGTTCTAGAATGAATCAAAAGTAAGATAAGAATATCTATAAAAAATGTTTCTCTTACCTGTGTTTGTTGTTGTTGTCTTTGAATATCTTGAAGTGATGTATTAGATGCGTTACTAGGTCCATTCCATGATATTGCTTGTTGATTAGTTACCGATCGAGATTTAGGCTACAAATACAAAAAGAAAACACATAAAAATATTGAAAAAAACTATTTTCATTTATTCTAATATGCATATATATATATATATATAGAAGACCATTCATAGATTAATAGGTTAGATAAACAAAACATGATTTAATCACAATACAACATACATGAATATTTAAAAGAGATAGTACCGCATTTGTTGCCTGTTGATTATAAGATGCTATAGATGAAGAATCAGTTAATGTATTCTCATTTGTATCATGATCAGACAATATATGACTTGATGTCGATGGAACATTACTATTACCACTATTGCTACCGGCAAATAATGTTTGAGCCCATGAACCCGATTTATTGGTCGATGATGATGAAGCGGAATTTTGTATAGGTAAAGTCTGAGAATTACCCTAATTAAATAGAAATTAATTAGGAACAAAAAAGTTATAAATAAATTTCGAATCAAACAAAATTTTTTAAAATAGTGAATTTTTTATTTTTATTTTAAGATACGTAAATAGAATCTTTTTTGAACGTAGTTTGATTCAACTATTTATTTATATCTTTCACAAATGAATGAGAACTGAAGTAATTCAAATCAAATGTATCTCGGAAACAAAACATGACGAATACATCCGTATTGGTCAATGTCTTATTTCGAGTATTTAAATATGGAGTTTTAAAGTTTGGTTTAAACTGTTCGGGACGACTATGTAAGTCATGGTTGAAACGAACATTATCGAAAAGAAAGATGGGCGAATTTTTCTCAATCATTCAATACCAGTGATCTTCGCTTCACTCACTTTTTGGATATATATATCGCATATATACAAGTATCATCTCGGAATATCGTTAAGAAAGAGTTGACAAATATAGGAGCTATTCCAACTCTAACCAGTCATCGAAATTTCAAGTTAATTCGATTTTTGTGGCAAATGACTACTTTATCGAAATTCAATATTTCGACAAAGGAATGTTCTTTTCGACTGAAACTTTCAAGATATTCTAAGAATTATTAGATCTATCTATGGGCAAAGTTTCAGATCAAAATTCTATTATTTGACTTTTCAGTAAATACCTATGAATGAGTCGAAAATTCAGTAAAACGACTATATCTTGTCTTCAAAGATGCACGGAGACGAATGCTTCTAGGCATTTCTAATCTCACCGAGACCTGCTTGCGGGCCCGATATATCCACGAACGGTGGATTACAGTCAAAGTAGCTCATTCATATGTATTCAGTCGAACCTGAAATGATTGGATAGTGTGTTTGTTGTTCTAAACTTCAAACATTTGGGTTCAGCACATATCAATATAGAATTTATTGTAGCATAAAATCTACGATAATTTTACTAATTAAACCCTTTCAAAGCTTAATATGAGACTTCATGCTAGAAGTCGTCACAAATGCTTTACGTTAGTTCGATAACGAACTAATGAAAAAAAGTATCGAATTCGAACATCATTTTAATTTTACAAAAAAGTCATAGACATGATCATTAAAATAAAATAAAATTTTTAGCAATTTTTATTCGTTAGATTTTGACGTACGTATTGATTAGCAAAAGCAGCTGCTTCTCTCGAACGTCTTTCCTGTTCTTGTTTTTGAATTTCAGCAAAATTAAATGTTTGTGTTAAATCATTAGTCTGAGATGGATGTCGAGTCCAATTAGTTGTTTCAGGTAATTTATACATTGTTTGTTGTTGAGGTTGTTCACGATATTTTTCTTGATATCGACGAATATTTTCTGCTCTACAAAGTCAAAAATTCAATATTTAATAAACAAAAGAAAACAATATGAAAATAAATATATTTTATTACTGTTGTGCTTCAATTTTTGCTTGTTGTTCTTTTTGATATTGAATTGATTGTTGAAAAGCTAAAAATGGATCCATATCAATAGTCGATTGTTTTTTATTATCATTTGTTTTTGTTAATTGATCAAAAATCATTTGTCTATTATTATTTAATTCTTGTTTTTTACGTAATTCTTGTTGTTCATATTGACGTCGTTCATCTTCTTCATGTTGTAAACGT